AATTAATATAAGAAAGTGATACATGAAAGATATACATCAACATCAAAACAGAAACACTAAAATGATACCCCTAATTGATGTACAAATTGATACAAAAAAGTGATACACCAAAGGGATATATTAAACATAATCACCAATAAGGCGTATCACAATAAATAAATAAAAATAATCAAATTAAATTTTTGTATATTTGGAAAAAAATAAATTATCAATGAAAAAGAGAAAATAAAGATAGAATAACGGTGAGAGAAAATAGGGGAGAGAGTTATGGAGAGAGAGATGGAGAGTAACCAAGAGAGAGGGAGAGCGAGAAAAAAAAAATAGAGAGAGATTGTGATATAATTGTTTCCAAAAATCAGTTGTTACAAGAGTTACTCTTGTGAAATGGGTGTTTGGTCATTTTCCATTAAAAGAACAAGTTTCACTAATACCTTTTTACTCAAAAAAGTTTATATTTGTGTACCGATTTTCTTTTTTCTCTTAAAAAATTTGTTACTAAGCATCTATAATTTTTACCTTTTTTAAAACCTAAATTTAAATTTAGGTAAAAAATTCTTACAAACCTTCTCTAATCCTATACCCAAACTCATATCAAATCAAGGAATACTCATTTTTTTTACTTAATTTCATACATAAATCTTTAATGGTGAAATTTTATCATCTTTTAAAGATATAATGATCATATTTTGCCCTTATTTAAATTTGGGTTTATACTTATTTAAATTTAAATTTTTTTATTTGATAAATTTATACCAATTTAAGCTTTTTACCTTTTTTTTTTTACTCAAATTTGGATAAAAGTTTATGTTTCCACTGCAAATGGTCTCGAACATCTCTTTTTTTTTTTGGGGGGGGGGAAGGAAGAAAGGGAAGGGGGAGGAAGACTTGAACCCTTGACATCAGAAATACAACGCCTTTACAAGACAAGAAATATCATTAGATTAAAGACCTATTGATTCGAACATCTTCAATCCTTACTTTTTTTCTAAAACCAAATCTAAATCTGAGTTAAAAAAAAAAACTACTAAAAACATTCTCTAATGCTACACTCATATCCATATCAAATTAAAAAATATTTATTTTTTTACTTAAATCAACAGAGATTCAAATCTATATCTAAATTTTTAATAGTGAGATTTCACTCTCTTATAGATTCAATAATCATATTTTATCCCTTTTTTAATTTGAGTTTATCCTCATTTAAATTTGAAATTATTTTCCTTTAAACTTGAGGTTCTCCATCGGAGAGATCTATACCAAATCAATTTTTTTTTTTTTACACATAAAATTAAAAAACCCAATGATAGACTATTTGGTGTAAACGGGACGATCATAGTTTAATTGAAAATATTAAAAAAAAAAATGGTTTGAGGCGCTAGTTGCTGAAACTACGGCTGCAAAGGAAACACATCTTTTTGCTAAGAGACAAGGAATTAATAATATAAAATTGGAAGGAGACTGCATGACCGTGATTAAATCTATCGATGCTTCTGAGGAGGATTTTTCGTCTTTATGTTTCATTCTATTGGACATTAGATCTACCAAGTTAAATTTTAGATATTTTTAGTTGTCTAATGTGGGTACGATGGTAAATAGAGTCACACATAACTTGGTTAGAAATATTCGTTTTGTTTCAATGTTTGATGTATAGTAGAGGAAGGAAAGTAATAGAAAATGTGTATATAATTAGATTGTAATAAACCGTTTAAAGTCTAATTTATACACTAATTTAGACAGACTGTATAGAAATCAAAATAGTGCACTTACAGAGACGCAAATCAGCATAACTAAATAAGAAAAATCAGAACTTCATTCCGAGTCTTGTGAAACACAGTCTCTTTAACACATATTTACTCTCTCTCAATGCTCAAAGTGAATGAGCAACTGTATTCTAAAATAGAACGGATTTTCCTTCTTAAAGAAGCAACACTTCAATCTTTAAGATTTCAGCGAACACAATTTATGTTTATACTTGAACTGAATCAAAAGAAGAATGCAACAATATGCACACAGAGAAAGATTGAATAATTTTAAAATTGGAATCCAGAGTGGTATGAATTAAAATGGTAAAGGAGTAGTCTATTTGTAGACTTTTGATGGTTGTTCATATTATTTGAAAAGGCATAGGTTGCCACTATTCAGATTGAAGAGACACGATCTTTAATCTGAACAGGGAAAAGGTACCTCTTAGAATGAATCCAGACCCTTTTGGCACCAAGTTCAATTGAATTCGAAAGGTTTGACCTATGACCCACACCGCTTTAAATAAATTGTCTAAAAAAATTATATTTTTTTTGCCCAACCCGACCTGGCCAAGTCGTGGTAAAGCGGACGGTGCACGCGTCTGTGATAACTATGGTAGTGTAAGCACTTGTTTCGCTCACAAAAGTGTGGTACCTCTTGGGATCCAAATCTAAGAAATCAACTAGGAATATAATAACTCACTAAAATGTTAATCTTCTTCCAATGTGAGATAAGTTTTATTTTATTACATCAATTTTAATTTATTTTATCACTTCAAATAGGTCACTTTGAAACATAATTTCTCATTCAAATCTTAATGATTTTAGACAAATAAATATACCGCATTAATCTCCTCACGGAGGAGAACGCATTTAAACTTGGTCCCACTAATTACGAGCCGTGAGTTCCATTTTTATTTAAACATCAAATTACTCAAATAAACTTGTTTAAAACTAATTTTCCCAACAAAGGACACTTGATTTCATCATGCTTTCTCTAATCACAGATATTCCAAATTATTAAAATTATTATCGTTTTTATCCAAAAAAAAACCAAAATAAACAAAATGGTTCTTCATGTAATTGTTTGTGTATTTGAAGAGGGTAAAACTTTTCCCATGGAATTAGAATGAATAAGATAATTAGGAATACTAATTTTTGGAGATATGATTGTATGTGTGCACATTGATTGATATGATAACTCAATTTGTCTACTTCTTCAATTATAATTGCATCCATCTACTTCAAATTTTGTCTGACTTCATGACAAAAAAAAAAAAACAAATAAGTTTTTACTTACTATTGGACCTATTAATAGATTGAATTTCAATTGATTCAAAAAAAAAAATTTGTTTTTTAAAAATTGGATCTGAATGCTACCCGAATACATTATAGATAGAATTGTCAAAAAATAATAAAGCTGATCGAATTATTGAGTCTGTTTGGAAATGGCTAAAAACTTCAATTTTTGGAAGATTTAGAAGAAAAGAAATCTGATCCATTTGGACCAAGGTTTATTGGGCAGTTTTTCAATCAATTTTTTAGACAAAAATAACTTTTATTAGTATCAAGGAAAAACTAAAAAATATAACTTATCCAAGGATTGTCAAGGAAAAACTTGCTTTTTTGAAAACACACCAAATAGTTTCAAGAATTTTTTTAATTTCAATTTTTCATTTTATTTTTCAAAATTCTATTTCGCATTCTAAAAAGCCAACATCAAACGGGACCCATTGAATTGGAGTTGAGTTTTAGCATATTACTTTTTAATTTTAACTCAATTGAATTAAATTATTATCCAATGCATACGTACGTAATTCATCGCAGTACAATTGAATTGAATGTTTTTATATTCAAGTTTGAATTTGTGCAATATGATATAGTCGGTTGGGGATTAAAAATTAATGACTTAGGTTAAATCATATTTAAATACTGAAAGTAACTCGTGTCTAATGGTATAGTGCAACATAAAAAAAATTGATGTCACCATATCAAAAAACAATTTTTTTTAAAAAAATTTAATTTTACCCCTTATTTTGAAAAAAAAACCAAATTTTTTTATCTTAAAAAAATACCAATATGTGTATACTATCGTAAATGAATAATGATGGATTTAGTTCATACGAGGCCAACTCAAGTAATGGGTCTGACCCAGACAAGACCCATCTCAAATAGTGGGCTGGCCCGAACAAGGCCCAATTCAAGTAATAAGCTCGACCCAGATAAAGCCCAATGAACTCGACCCAGATAAAACCTAGCTTAGCTCACCACGGAGTTAAGAGACAGTCAATCACGTCATTCTAGAGTAAATGAGTCAATCACATCATCCTAAAGTCAAGGAGTCAATTACATCATCCTGAAGTCAAAGAGTTAGTTACGCCATCCTAGAGCGAATGAGTCAGTCGGTCTATCTTAGGGCCACACCATCCTAGAGTATCAATCACACCATCATGAGACCTAGTCTACAATTGATGAGAGATCTCAATGCCATTTCCATGCAACTATCCCGTCGATTGTGAGAATGGTGCCACCTCCACCAAATTTGTCAGTCTATTATGGATGTGCCACTTCAATTTGTTAGGAAACACTTATAAATTGTAAGTCGTGTCGACATATGGGAGACGTCTGACATCTTGTATCTTATCTCACACCTGACTCACCTGAACTCTCCACACTTCTACAATAATAAAACACCCTAGCAACTAAAGTCCTTTAAAGTGGAACAGATCACTCTGATCAAACCTCTCTATCTCTGTATGTTGCTTGTGTTGCGTTCTTCATCATTTTTACTATATTTTATTAATCATACTAACTACTCAACAGGTAATACATAAATCTATTTTTGTGTATCATCAAATAATGTTTAAAATAAAAATTATATTAAACTATAATTTAATTAAAAATTAAATAAATTAACTTGAGATAGAAATAAGCGGGAATGTATTCATTTGCTGGAGGATAAAATACGACAAACCTGCTTTTCCTTTTCCCTTTTTTGTGGCATTCTCATCATTTCATTCCTTCCATCAATTTGTGGTGAATATCTGCTTGCTCCTTACTGGTGAAATCAAAAACTGCTTTTCCACCCACACAAACATCGCCTCCTCCTTTTTTTTTTTTTTTTTTTTTGGTTCAACGGTTATAAATATTCGGATTAATTTATGCATACTTTTAATAATTTCTTTCCTAATACAATCAAAGACAAGTCATACACGTTGAGACAAGGGTATTCATGATAGATAAATCTCTTCTGACCTGTTCCAAGAAATTGTCAAGATTCGAACTTAAGACGTCTAAATTTACAGTTCATCGTTATTACCACATAAACTACTCATTGGAGATCATTTTTTAGGTCATATAAGCATCTCCAAGCCGCATGCCCAATGACAGCCGGAGGCTCCGACGGATCTTTTTGACATGTTTTTCTTCTCCAATCGACGACATGTCAATTATTGATTAAGCAAAAATAAATTTAGCTAAGACATATCTTAATTAATATGTCAAATTTTTTTAATGTAATATTTTATAGAGTTGTTAAATGTTTAATACAACAATAGATTTAAAGATAATAGATTTCAAGATAAATATGTAATAAAATAAATTATTTAAATGTATCGATTGAAATACAATAAGGTGAAGATATCAAATTATCACATAAATTTTAAAATTTAAATTTGACATCTCAATGTTAATATGCAGGTGCTCTAATAAAGGTTTAAAAGCAATCATTTGCCTGCCGATTTTCTTTTTCTTTTTCTTCTTCTATTTTACTTTTTGATTTGACTTCTTCTTTCTAAAACGTTCAACTATGATATTTATTTTTTAATAAAATGATAATAAGACAATACAATTTTTTTATTTTAGTATTTCACATTATTTTATTATTCAATGATTTAAATAAATTATATCACCAAAAATTATTTTTGATATAAGAAAAGATTAGAGGTGAGAAGATAAGTAGCTTAGGTTTAGGGGCAAAGCCACCTCTAGAAGTGAGGGCACCTCTACTTATTTGACTCAATACATTTGCCCCCCTCAATTTTTTGGAAATATGTAAAATGACCCCTATAATTTGCAAATTTTTTGAATATTTGTAAAATGGTCCTAAATTAAATAAGGATAATACATTTCTTCTATCTAATAAATTACCCCCAACTTCAAAAACAACTGCATGATTGCTCTCTACCCCTTTTCGATAACTCAATTGCCTTTATCATTGGGTTAATAATATTAATTCTTCTTTTTTTTTTTTTTTGTGTTATTCCTATTCCTATTCCTACTCCTACTCTTAGGATGGGAAGAAGAAAAGAAAATGCGAAACGTTCTTTTAGTTTCCCAACATGTTGCTTCTAAAGACTATTCTCTCTTAGCTGGATGTTGGTCCGGCCTACTACGAGGATCTCGTATTCAGGAACCCAACATGTATAAATGGTCCTCTTTTACTAAGCGGCAATTATGAAGTTTTCTTTTTTATTATTAAAACAAGGAAGGACATTTTTAGCTGGTGCGCAAAAGCACACTTCTCTTTTCTCCTCACTACTCACTAGTAAAAGGGTCCTGCAGTTCCTACGTCATCGTAAGCACCAGTCTTTTTCTTTTAGTGCTTTGACTTGAGACGATGGCTGTTAACTCTAAATAAGTAATATATCCGATCAAATGTAATATTCTACGTACTCTAACCCGAGAATATTTTTTAATCTTTCTCATAATCAAGTTCTCAACACCATGGAGGACGATTTCAATTGGACTTTACAACAAAAATGAAGAATTATTTTGTTAGTGATTCTACGATTGTGTATTTTAAAAGAAAATTATTGAGAAATTTAGTTTAAAACTAATCAATTATTGTCGAATTAAACTATAATATATAATTAAATTAAATATACCAGGAAAAAATTATTTTATGTTTCGTCAACTCTAAAACATCACTCTAGCTCTACTCTCTAATTAGGTTAGTGGGTACGGGATTAGGTTAGGGTTTGGATAGTTGGATTTTTTTTTTTTTTGGGACAAAAATATGTCTATAGCAATGGTCACACGGATTGCTTGTGCGTGCTTAGCGTTACCAATTTTAACAAAATTGGGTGAAAATCTTTATATTAAATTGAATTTTCCAATTGAAGAACTCAACTAAAACAAAACTTAACTCAAGTTAGTATTATTATAACTGAACCAGGTTGGCCGGTCAGTCGAAACGGACCCTAAATCGATTCGATTTACCAATTGGACTGCCTATATAATTGAACCGACACTAAATTATAAAATTGACTTCTTTTAGAGAAAACTATTGAACTAGATAATTTTTATCTCTTCAATCGTCTTCTCCAAATGTAGGCGGGTGCTCAACTCTCAATCTCCTCTCAGCTAGTCTTTGTAAGCCTTCTTCCCTTTTTTTCTCTATCTCTACTATTTCATTAGACGATGATTGAGGAATTGAACAGAGGAGGAGACAAATAAAGGATGACAAGAGAGCTATTTTACATTTAAAGAGCCAAATCACTCTTTTTGCACTCTAATAAATTAGTTATTTTATATTTTGATAATCTGTCAAGCTTTATAATATTTTTTGCTTAAAATATTAATAGTAAATTAGAAAATATAAAATAGAAAGACTTTGTAAAATAATTCTTTAAATAAAAAAAGTAATATTTTTAATATATTTTAGCTTGTTATTTGAAGGGCACCATTGGAGATGCTCTTCCTTGCAAACGAGGGAGGCTCCTTTGAGCATCGTAAATTTATTGCAAATCTAATCAATTTTTTTTAAAGCGTATAATATAATTTAAGGGGCATTTATGTAATTTAGTCTTATTATAACATTTTTGACCAAGCTCAAAATGACGTCGTTTTCGCACCGCCTCTCTTTTTTGATCGGTACTTTGCACTGGCTTTGCCTACAAGTTTCTTCTGTCGTTCCTTTGAAGCAGACAAACCGTGTCTGTCGTATCTCTGCACAATACTGTCACAAGGTAATTTCTATTTTCTAGATCTTTTTAGTTTTTTTTTTAAGAAAAATTAATTTGGGGTGGTTGATTTACTTTTCAATCTTGTTTTATCTGTTTACGTCTCAGACAGGACTCTGAATTGACAATATACAAATCTTTTTCAGGCCCTTTTGCCATTTTTTCCTTCTTCTTGTTGCCGCTGCTGCACTGGTATGTTCTACCCATCTTTTATGGTTTTTTTTTTCAAATTTTCCTAATTTTGTTAAGAATTGTGTTGGATATTTGAGCTTTGTTGCTTGGCCAGAGAAATTGACTTTTGCTTGTTAAAATAGAAAACCCATATGCTCTTTCAATAGAACTTTTAGGATAAGGCACAGGAAGTTCAAAACCTGGATCAATTCTACTTGGTTTTGCAAAACGAAATATTGCATTTGGTTTCGTATACTTGTACTCATAAAATCAAGATTTTTCCCATATTACTTGGGCCTTCCAATTCTAGACACGGCCAATGAATGCTACACGAAAGGATTAGGTTTGACTTTGATTTTATAGGGTTTATGTGATAAATGGGTGGACGTACTAGACCTTGGTAAACGGATCGAGAAAAACCCGGCTAAACCTATTATACACGACACAAATCTTATTGTACATAACTATAAATGGATTGGGTATTGGCTACACAAGTTTTGACCGGATAAAATTTAAACACAACACTAATCCGGCCCGACATGATTCATTGCCAGACTTAATATTACTAGGTTATGTTGTTCCACACTAGCAATATAATGTGCGCTAGAAATTGGGTTTCTTAAATTTAATGTGGAATTCTTATTTTATTGATTTGAACAGATAAATGGGTTGAATTTCTCTTCATCCTTCAATTATGTTATGAGATTGATAAAAAATAATCACCCGGTTTGGTTATTGTTAATTGAGAATGCAAGGAGGGTTGAATTGGGTAAAGATATAACCTTTGGCATTACTTGGATAAAGTGGTGCTCTCACATGTAGACCCCAACCTTGCAATGATCTACTCCAATCATTTTATCACATCACAACTTATTGTTCTTTGCACTCAACTCAACAATTCTTGGCCCAACTACTTGCAGTCAGCTATGCCATTTTTTCCCGTATATTCCTCTTTCTAGATCGCATTCTATCTAGTTATGGTTCTTAATGCGGATACGAATTCCAATCCTTCTGCTTTTAAACATTCTATCCCTCTATGTTTTTTACCTTATCTTATACAATTTTGTTCTTAATATCTTACTTTTTCTGCCACTGCTATATCTGCCAGTTTAGTTCCAATGGGTATGATTCAAATGGCATTTAAGATCTTGCAATTGAGAATTTGCATCCTTACCTGTTCGTGAATTGGACAAGTTATGCCGATGTTTGTTCATGACTTAGGTTCGAAAAAAGGCAGCTATGGACATTATATAGTAGGATCAGAATGTTTGGTCCCATTATAGGCTGATTTAATATCTAGAAATAATTCATGGCTATTACTAGTTGCAAGCATGGTTCAGGGTTGTGGTGTTTGCCATCAACTCGAATGGCCCTAAGATGCATTGGTTGTGAGAATTGAGGTGGCATGTGTAAAATGACAAATTGAAGGAATTGGATTCAAGTATTATTGCGGCTTCAAGAAATAATTTCGGGTGATAAGTTGTGGATTGATGACTCGACTCGACTCGGCTAGGTTGATCAAGTCGTCTCTGAGTCAACTACAAGCCTATTGAAACTTAAGGTTGCATGTAATGTGGAACGATATTAAAATTGGAAGTGTGGAGTCAGATACAACTTGGCTGATTATGATGATTGAGAACTTTTGGGTCTTACAAACAAACTAGATCGTTTTTTCACTCATTTTTGGCAAAAAAATTATTTTCACATCCAAAACCCTTCCTAAATAGGATTTATGCTTGCAAAAGTAGTGAAATGAGACTTGACAAGTGTTCTCTATATTAGGGACTCAAAAATAAGGCAAAATTTGGATATCTTTAATTTTATAGGGGATGTGATCCAAAAAAAAAGCATTACACCTCCGATTTTCGTTTTCTGTTATGTAACTTGTGTTTGCGCCAAGTCCATTACGGTCACATTATTGTTTTCTAAAACTATGTTCATCATGATTAAGTGTTAAATTTCGTATATAACTTTCCTACATCTTGTTAAACAGATCATTTTTTCCCTTAATGAATTTTTTTTTTCTAGTAATGGGATTAATTTTTACTACACAATTAGTCTCTGTTTGCATGATTGTTTCAAAGTAGAACCTAATGGTCCGTTTGATACAAAGGATGAAAAGAAGGAAGGAAGGAAAAGTGAAAATAATAAGGTTTCCATCCTTGAAGGAAAAAAGTTATTTTCCTTTTTTTTGTTTTTGGTAGG